AGTTTAGAATTATGAATTTAGGGAATATGACATAATCTAAGGAGAAGGACATGTATTCATATTTCTAATAAAAACATTTATGGCTGCCAAGAAAACCACATGAGTGTGACCATATAGTCACCAGGAATTGAGGTGACTCAAGGGCATATTTACTTGAATATGGAATAATGTATTTTTAACATCACTATCAGAAGTAGCACCTAGCTGATTTTGTTTAATCTTCAAAGAAGCTAAGCAGCGCCAGACTCAAGTAATGGATAGCTAGGAGATTACAAGGAAATCTCAGCTCTCTAAGCTAGACGGGGATATTGAACATATGTCCAGGACAATAGCATGGCAATTCAATATTGTAGCCAAAAAATTGAGATGGATTATCAAATCAGGATTTGTGGAAGGGTTTCTGGAAATTCAGATAGATGTGATGGGCCAGTACAGACTGCCTTATCTTTTTATTTTCCCTTGTATAAAACTCTGCCCTTAAGAGGTACACTATGTACCCAAATATTAGCATTGTGCTACCAAATTTTTATAGAATTTTTTTATAATTTGCCTTCCTGGGATTCATATAAACATTAAACCATTTCATTATTATTTAACCTTATGAATTAGGTATGCATTTCTGTTTTATAAACTAGCAAGATCTCTTGTGCTGCTCCAGAATTTTTATTCATTTTACTTTAGTTTTATGGAAAGATGAGAAATAAATAGCAGATCTTGAATCACTTGTCAGCTAACTGGAAAGCTGGTGGTAGAAGGACTGTCTGACTTGATCTGGGGTTTACCTCTGGTTTCCCCCTTCAGATAATTACCCTTAGGACAGTGGTTCTCAACCTTTTTAATGCCGCGACCCCCAACCGGTCGTAAGTCGAGGACTAAACCGGTCATAAGTCGAGGACTAAACTGGTCATAAGTCAAGAACTACCCAACCGGTCGTACGTCGAGGACTTTCCCTGCCCGGGAGCGCCGCACATGCGTGGTTCCGCCCCCTGCGCCTGCCGAGGCGTAGCTGGCAAGCGGCAGAGACGGAGCAGGCCGACCACCAGCTGGCCCAGCCCAAGGGAGGTAAGGCACCCGCCGGAAAAGGGGAAAAATGGCAGACAGCCTTGCTTGGCGACCCCTGTGAAATGGTCGATTGACCCCAAATGGGGTCCCGACCCATAGGTTGAGAACCGCTGCCTTAGGAAATTGAATAATATGGATCTGGGTTATCTAGAAACTAGACAGGGCACCCTCGAAACCAAATAGTGCTATGTATATATTTTAATACTCCAGGTATGACTGAAAGCAATGTTATGCAGAAAAAGAAAAATCGCCATTTAATATGATTCAAGATCAATATAGAGAGAGCATCCTCTAGTGGACACTTATTATAATGCTTCCTGAAGCCCTGTTAAAAGATCATCAGAGTGACGAAAGTCTTCAAGCTGAGTTCAGTTCCCGATTATTTCATGGGTATGTCCAGATAGTTTTCTGGGTTACAGTGTAACAGTGACTTGCCATCCTTATTTTTCAGAATGGTTTTTAATTTCCCAATCTAGCCCTTGACCCTTGGATTTCCAGGTAGTCCTCCATCCAAGTACTAATCACATCTAAACGTAGCTTAGCTTTCTTGTTTTATATATAGAATTTTCCCAACAGATTGAAATGATCACAAAGCTATGCTTGTTCACATAACAGCTATATAAAATATCTGTGGCAACAATTATTTATTCATAATGTGCTGTATCAAAAGACAAGTAAAAAAAGTAGAAAGATTAGTCTGTGTCTTGCTGTTTGTTGCTGTTTACCAGTTATGTGAAATAAGTAATTACTATATACCTATGACCGTATTATACTGTAATGAAGTGTTTCCTAACCTTGTCATCTTTAAGATGTGTGGACTTCAACTCTCAAAATTGAGAGTTGAATAGTGCACTGCCTATTTATCTCTCTTTCTGGATGTAGATATGGATTCTTAGAAAAACAGTTTGTTAGAGCTTGTCAGCAAAATATCTCAAACTATTTTGGATTATAATTCTCATAAACTCCAGCCAACATCACCAAGGATGAACTGATATAACGGAAGTACTTTCTGAAATATATGATCACTGCCACTATATACAGTATGTACTAGTGTAGGAATACAACGCAGTACATATGGGACCATATAGATTAGAATCCTGTTGGCCACTGGAGAATAAAAAAGCAAGGAGATGCTTTCAACTCAGTTTAACTTTGTTGAGTATATCTATTTATAAAAAAGTAAACCCCACCCTGCACAGTGAAAGGTATTTCTAAGTAATCACCAAAAAAACATGTTCTTAATTAGTCCATCATTTGCGTGTTTCTGAAAAATGTTGACTACCTGGTGTCAAGATTTACCTGGTGTCAAGATTTAGAAATGTCCACCATCTATTTAGTTTTCCCCCGTTTAAAACAACAGATTCTTCTTTCTGGTATTGTCTGGTATTGAGCAAATATTCCTTCTTCGGGAAGGCTAAAAACGAGGGTCCCCTGCTCCTTCAGAAGGCCAGATCAGCTCAGGCAAGCCTTTCGGGGCTCTCCTTCCAAAAAGGAAAGAGCGGATACTCTCCATTTCAACTCCCCAAAGGTCCAGCTAAGCTGGGGATGGTCACCAGCGGTTAGGTGCCAGGCATCAAGTTTGCAAACCTTGTTGGGCAGCATGAAACCGGCCTTCTTGAATCAGCCGAGTATACATTTTTTTAAGAGCTGAGTGCAAAGGAATAGCAATCAGAGGCGTAAACGTAAGTAGGACTGAAGTTGACAAATTCTGCCCACCCGAAGGTAGATGCTCCAGAGAGGAGGTTGACGATAAACACCGCGTCCTCTCCTCTCCGTTTTACTAGTCCGGCCCGAGGGATTTGCCTTGGGCGAGGGAGAGCTACTCCGCTCCAGCCTCTCCACTTTTGGGCCTTCGGAACCGCTTTTCCCACCCTTTGCTGGTCGGCTGGGGTCTTCTTACCCTTGCAACGATTTCGTGGGTGGGCTGAATGTCACCAATCATGAGCAACCCCCTCCCCCTCCCTTTTTTTTTAAAGCACCTAAAGGACCTTCGCCCTTGCTCCAATCCGATTTCGCAGCCCCCTCCAATTTAAGCGGGACTGCCATCCGCAAATCCTTCCCATCAGACATTGGAGTTCAGTGTCTCCTATCGCGGTGTTCCTAACTCTTTTTTTTTCTTGTCGGTTTAAGCACTCTTTTAAGTTACTCGTAGCTCAGGATAGCCGCGATTCTGATCCCGGCGATTCAAAATAAGCTAGAGTAAAATAAACTCGTAAAGCAATGAATGCCGCGGGTTGTCTTGAAAAACTTCCAGGTTGAATGGAAAGAAGACGACATCCCGACCCATCTGGAGAGACCTCCGCTTTCATAACCCCACCCGCTTCAAAATCTTGCCTCCAATTTTGTCCCCAGGGACGGCAATCCTGCAGGGACTGGAGAAATTAACCGCGGCGATCCGTTCCTTTTTAACGGCTCTTTATTATCCGAAGGCGGCGGGTTGGGGAGAAGCAATAGAAAAATACTTGATTTTGTCCGCCTTCCATTCTCACGATAGTTGAAATCGAAAAACAGATACGGAATCAAATTCTCCTTCTGAGAAGCTACGACGGATTTCCCGGTGAGGCGCATGTGCGTCTTTCAATTCCACCCGTGAAATAAAAAAAATGTTGAATCGGAAAAAAACTAGAGCCTCCAACGTTATGGCCTCCAACGAAAACAGATTTTTCACTCGTATGCATTGAAATATAAAAACAGGGTTGAAAAAAAAAAATACCCAAAGCTGCTACAGCCCCCCAAGAGCAACCGATGGCCACGTTTAGAGAAACGTAATCTTGCGATCGAATATTACAAACCGGATCACCATCGTGCTTCACAGATAGGCCAATTAAAAGCAGCGACAGGTGTAAAACAGATTAAAGCAGTTTCAAAACTACGACGGCTTCGACGGGGAAGTCCTCCAGAAGCCTCTTCCCAATTAAAAAAACAGCGATATTGGCATTTTCCAAACCTGGGGAAATCCCTATAAATCGGCTCCCCAAACCCTTTCGATTTAATATAAATTTAAATAATAAAATAAAATAAATAAAATAAATAACTTATCAGGCCTCGGTGATCTCGCGATCCTGGAAACAAATTAAAATAAATTCAGTGTGGTCTCAAAGATTAGTACAGTAGGTTATTTTATTTTATTTTTACCTTTCAGTAGATAGCTCAGAGTGTAACGTTTTTGACATGGTAAAATGACGAATTGCCTTACGGAGAGAGAGAGAGAGGGAGAGGGAAAAGATAATAAAAAGAAGAAAAGGCCACTCGTTTCCAAAACCGGCTCTTATTACATTGCTGCATTTATTCCTTTCTCAAGTTATTCCAAGAGGCGGACAAAGACTAAAAGCACCGCATTGAAAACGGAACGGAAACCGAGAGCAACGTCGCCTCCCTTCTGATCGCGGGTGTATTAGGCAGATTTCGACCCCGCCATTCCCCGACAGGCGTTTGACATTTGCCCCCTCTCCTCCCCCCCCCAAACAGGGCCACGTTACTCCGACTCTCTTCGGACGGGCGTCTCTCCGGCCACCCGTCCAATCGCGACGGCGCGGCCTCTCGCCTCTCCCCCTCCCGCCCACTTGGAGGCAGCCCCGCTCCCGGCGACCGGCTTTGCGAGGCCCGAGGGGATAGGCCGGCAGGTGGGGGCAGAGGTGGCTGCGGAGGAACGGCCAGCCTCCTCTCCGGGATAAATAGAGCCACGAGGAGACCAGGCGGGATGGCATCGGGAAGGGCCTGCCGTTTGCTTCCAGGCAAGCAGAGCAGCGGCGACGGCGGAAAGGGGAAAAAGGGGGATAAAGAAGCTGGAAGCGAGATCGAAGCCCCCTCCCGCGCTCTCTGGCTCTCTCTCGGCGGGTCCTTTGGCCTCGGAGCCCAACCCCCGCGCCCCCCTCCAGCGCTAGGAAAAGCCCGCCGCCGTCTGTCCGGGTGGGGAGCCCGGCGGCCACCGCTCTTCCATGGACGTCCTAGGCCACATGGAGCTGACCGAGGGCTCCCTCTGCTCCTTCTCGCCCGCCGGCGACTTCTACGACGACCCTTGCTTCAACACGTCGGACATGCACTTCTTCGAAGACTTGGACCCGCGGCTGGTGCACGTGGGAGGCCTGCTGAAGGCCGACGAGCACAGCCACCACCATCACCACGGCCACGAGGACGAGCACATCCGGGCGCCCAGCGGGCACCACCAGGCCGGCCGCTGCCTGCTTTGGGCCTGCAAGGCCTGCAAGAGGAAGACCACCAACGCCGACCGCCGGAAGGCGGCCACCATGCGCGAGCGGAGGCGGCTCAGCAAGGTCAACGAGGCCTTCGAGACGCTCAAGCGCTGCACCTCCACCAACCCCAACCAGCGCCTGCCCAAGGTGGAGATCCTGCGCAACGCCATCCGATACATCGAAAGCCTGCAGGCGCTGCTGCGGGAGCAAGAGGACGTCTACTACCCGGTCCTGGAACACTACAGCGGCGACTCCGACGCCTCCAGCCCCCGCTCCAATTGCTCCGACGGCATGGTGAGTCTGCGCGCTGGCGCAAGCCGCCGCCGCCGCCACTGATCGAGGACGCTTCGGTCTGCACGAGGACCCAGATTGTTGAGGGGCCGTAGGCTGACTCTGTGAACCGCTTAGAGAGGGCTGTGAAGCGGTATATAAGTCTAAGGGCTATTGCTATTTGCCTTGAATATAGGGTAGGAAGACAAGGCGGTCCATGAGAGCAGCTTCTCCATATGTCTTGACAGTCCATCTTAAAGATGAGAAACTCTGGACTGAAACGCGTTGCCCTGAAATCTGTGGTTGGCCCCAACTCTTGTCTTCGCCAACCCAAACCCCAGAATCATTTGGCAGGGGGGAGGCAGGGATAGGATAGGATAGGAAGGGACCTTGGAGGTCTTCTAGTCCAGCCTCCCGCTCAAGCAGGAGAACTTATATCATCTCAGACAAGTGACTGTCTAGTCTCTTCTTAAAAACCTCCAGTGATGGAGCGCCCACGATTTCTAAAGGCAAGCTGTTCCACTGGTTAATTGTCCTCACTGTTAGGAAGTTTCTCCTTAATTCCAGGTTGCTTCTCTTTTTAGTCAGTTTCCAACCATTGTTTCTTGTCTTGCTTTCTGATGCTTTGGAAAATAGTTTGACCCCCCTCTTTGTGGCAGCCCTCAAATACTGGAATACAGCCTGCTTTCATGGCTTTTTCAGAAAAGATGGTCCCCAGGTGGCAGAGAGAACCCCAACTTCTAGTCTTGGCTTCCTAAAAAGCTTCTTAAGGCTGCAAGTGGTAGCATGCCTTTCTGGAAGTGGTAGCTACTGACAGTAGTAGTAGGAAGACTTGTTGTTTAGTCTGTGTTCAGGAGGAGATACCGTTAGTCAATATGCATTCTCCCAGGTTTTCTCTGCATGTTTTTTTTTTCCTTTCCAGGACAAAGGAGAAAGGTTGTAATCATTCTGAGGTGCCTTTTGATGGGCCATGTTAGAGCCATCTGTCTGCAAGTGCCCTCTGATTCCTTGGTAAAGAGGATCAGTTTCTGTTCATGCTTATGTCAGGGAAAATAGGGAATGCTCTGTTCTGGTGCTGAAGCAGGCTTAGTCTCTAATCCGAGAGAAAGAGGAGAAAAGGCAAGTTTTTTTGGCGCTCTCAGCCTTGAGTAAAAAGGGAGGGAAGGTCTGCTTCTTAATCCCAGTTTGGGCTATTTGTTCCCTCAGGAATTAGGGTGGAGACAGGAGGAATTTGATATGGAAATTCCTATGTGTCAGTGGTTGGAATAAATTGATGGAATAAATTGTTTCACCGTTCTGCTTTTAACTCTAGTTCCAAGTCATCTTCCCATCCAGCCATAGTTGTATTAGTGAGGTTGCATACTAAGGGATGAGCACCCACTAAACTGGTGAGATTTCACTTCAAGTAGATGTGTTTCCTAAACTACAGAGTACATTTATTTATTTAAATCAAGTAATGAGTCACCCTTCAACAGAAGCTTCTTTGGTGGCTCCAGCTCAAAAGAAAAATATATACAATTTTGAAACATCCTCAACAAGAGATCCAGATTGGTATATTAGTTAGGGCAACAAGCTAGAAACCAGGAGACTGAATTCTGCTTCAGGCATGAAGCCAGCTGAGTGATCTTGGGCCAGTCATTCTGTCTCAGCCCTAAGCAGGAGGCAATGGCAAGCCACTTCCAAAATAAAATACTGCATGGAATTGTCAAGAATTGACTCAAAGGCACACACACACACACACACACACAGAAAGTCACTTACAAAATACTGCTTCAAACAGGGAACAAACTTTAAGTATTGCTCTTTCTGCTCCAGAGGATTTGTGGTACGAAATTCAATCTGTGTCTTCTGAAATTCAACTCCCGCTGTCCTCCTTTCAGTAAAATGAACCCTGTTTGGTTTTTTTTCCTGGAGCAAATATAATTACTATATGCATTTTCCCCAGTGATTATGAAATTTAATCACTGGGGAAAATGCATACTTTATCCTGTACATTAAATGGAACATTCTCATCTTGCTTGCCCAAAGATACATCACCCCTTCTCCCTAGCTATGCAGCTATATATCCTAAAGTTAATATTTTTGAGATGGTGGATAGCAGTTAAAATCACACCCTGACCTCATTCACTTCCTCCGGAATGGAGCAGTCCAAAGTAAATACTTCTGAATCTGCTCATATCTGGAGAACCTTCATTGAAAGATGCTCATTAAAACATGCTAGTTCAAAGCTTTTCTGGAAGAAAAGCATTACTTGCCAATGGATCCTCTAAATTATTTTCTAAGGACCATCCTGTCTTCTTTGGAACTTACTTTCCAGTAAATATTCATAAGAGTTCTGTGAATTAGGAAGAAGCCTCACTAGGCAAGAATTTATAACACTGCTGTGGATCTAATTAATTCATTGGAGATTTCTTGCAATGATAAAGAGCTTTAATATATGTAATAGCAACTTGGAAAAAAGTGAAAATTAGCATTATGGTGCAATAAAATTTAATTTGTAATTTCACAGACTTTTCTACCAACCCCCTTCCCCTTTTATTTATATATATATATGCAGCTATATATATTGTTCATGAGATATTTTTTCTCCTGAAAGGGGGAACATCATGGTAACATAAGAGAGTCTTTTCCCCCTGAATCTAGTTCCCATAATAAGGAGCCCATGAAGTAGGCTAGATTGAAAAAGAATATCTGTTCCTGTGTAGTTTAGTGAGTTACATATTGAGCAGGACTTGGGTTTTCTTGATATTTCATCTTTTGTTGAGTTGATTTTATTCTATTGTTGGGAATGTGTCTGAGGGGATTGCTGTTAACATACCTCTCAATCGCTCTGAAACTTCTGATTTCACACATATCCCAATCTAAAATAGGAGAAGCCTTCTAGAGGATTTAATCAAAGTACAGGAAGCCTGAGAGGCTATGACTTGCCAGAGAGATCATTTGACAATGAAAGATAAATGAGTCATGCATAATCCTTGGCCACTATGCAACTAACCATCTCTTATAGTTTAATTTCCCTACTTTGATGAATATTTGGAATGCCATTAAGAGTAAAAAAAAGTTCCTCCTGTTCTAAGATCCGTGGTGACATAGTGCTCCACAGATGCAGTATTGCAGGCTAACTCTGCCGACTGCCAGCAGTTCGATTCTCACTGGCTCAAGGTTGACTCAGCCTTCCTTCCTTTTGAGGTTGGTAAAATGAGGACCCATATTGTTGGGGGCAATAGGCTGAGTCTGTAAACCGCTTAGAGAGGGCTGTAAAGCACTGTGAAGCGGTATATAAGTCTTAAGTGTTACTGCTATTGCTAATGCCAGAACCATGGACTTCACATTCATAAAAATTGTGTAGTTTACCTAACTTTTATTATTATTTTTTTAAAAATGTGCATGGCCACTCTCCATAGATATGGCCATTCATAGTATATAAAGTACCTCTGGATGTGCAATTAAATAAATTTTAAAAATAGATATATAAATAGACCCTTTAAAACCAAGTACTGTAACAATCCCATCACAGAATCACCTTTCCTCCCTTCTCACCCCATGCCTGTGGAGGAAAATCCAGGTTTTAATGGCCTTCTGGAAGACAAGGAATGCTTGTTTTCTTAATAATTTGTTGAGGCATATATGGCACTTTAATCCAGGTGGCTTACACAATATGAAATTAAAGAATACCGACCATCACAACAGAACAATGCATAATAAATACATCTATTTGGCATGGTAATAAAAGGCACTGCTACCATTAGGTGAGGTTTTTCTACCCAAATGTCCACTGATTAGTGGACATTAAATTAAAGTGTGTGTGTGTGTAATAGATAGATAGATAGATAGATAGATAGATAGATAGATAGATAGATAGATAGATAGATAGATAGATAGATAGATAGATAGATAGATAGATAGATAGATAGATGGATGTCCACTGATCAGGGGATGTTAAATTAAAAAGTGTGTGTGTGTGTGTGTGTGTGTGTGTGATAGATAGATAGATAGATAGATAGATAGATAGATAGATAGATAGATAGATAGATAGATAGATGTCCACTGATCAGGGGACATTAAATTAAAGTTAAATGTGTGTGTGTGTGTGTGTGTGTGTGTGTGTGTGTGTATATATTAGATAGATAGATAGATAGATAGATAGATAGATAGATAGATAGATAGATAGATAGATAGATATGAAAATATATGGTATCTGATATATAAAGAGCTGCATATCTATCACTAAATGAAAGTACCATTAAACTTTTGAGTCGAGATCTGTGTTTACATTTCTGACTGAATGCCTTGTATTGTTGGGTTTTGTCTCAGATGGAATACAGTGGTCCTCCTTGCAGTTCTCGCAGAAGGAGCAGTTATGACAGCAACTACTATTCAGAATCACTTAGTGGTAAGTATTTGTCTTTTAAAAAAAA